ATGACTGGACAGAAAGTGAAGCTTCATTTGTCATTGGTCACGTGATTTCTATGACAATTAATAACACAACACAAGCTTTGAATCGAGGCTTCATCTGGCACGCCTATTTATTCTCGACACAAGCTCCGATGCCTCGGTTCAAATGTCACATCACTAGCAGGGGGTAATACCACTAACTTAAGAAACCAGGTCAGGTACAGTTCATATATCTGACTGCTTGTATTTGACAAAATTGTATAAATGTGAAGTAAAATTGAAAATTGAGGATGCAGTGCATTGTCAATGCATTGTGATGCATCGTGATATCGAATCGATGACATAATCGTAACCGAACCGTGAGACCAGTGTAGGTTCACACCCCTACAAATTAGCTACTTCATTGCAGCCAGAGTAAAGGAGTCTGTTATCACTGTTCTGACTCGGAGGAAGCTCATTCACTGCTCATCTGTCACTCATATTACGCGTTCATAACCCACCCTGTCTCCGTTGCGAACGTGTTACACTTCAGAAAAAAATTTCTATGGATTAAACATGAAGCTAAAAACACGCGATTATGACAGTGTATGATTTTCATAAGATTCTGGCTATTTTCATAATACAGTGTGTTTACATGAGAAATGCTAAGCAGGTGTAGCAATTAGCTTGATATAAAAGGCTACAAATAACACATTTCTGCAACATTATATGACCAAAACCCTCATTAGATCGCAATCTGAAGTTATTACAAACACTCAATGGTGGTTTAAAGTGAGTTTTGAGCATATTATAAAAAAGCATAGTATAAATTCTTATGTAGCTTGATGCTACAGTGTGCATGAATGGTCACAGATGTGTTTTCTTTGAAGCCTCGCCAGAGCCAATCACTGATTTAGGCACATAAAGTATGCTGTATGCTTATTGGCTCACTGACATTGACCAGATTAACCCCTTGGCTATTGAAATTTGGTACCGAACAAGACAAGTTGGTACCTAAAAAGTATCGAACTCGATACCCAGCACTAAATGTGACAAACTCAAGCAGCTAATGTGTTCTCAAATGATAGTGGAATGTTTTATACTTCTGATCTCACGGATTCTCTTTATCCCTGCAGGTGATGTTTGCCTGAAGAGGAAGCTTCAGCAAAGTTTCAAGGAAGGGAAGACTACTCTGTAAGTCCTCACAGTGTTATTTGTATTAAGGTTTTACTCCATATGTCTGTCATTTCAGCTACATTTAGGTCCCACAGCTCTAGTACCGTATTTTAGCCCCAGCAAATGTAGTAGTCAGGAAACAGCATAAAATGGACGTTTCGCCAAAATAGTCAATTTAGAATCGCTGCAGTTCATCAGCTTTACAGAAGGGTAAGAACAATTTCAAAGCTTAATAAAGTGGCGTTGAGAATGGCTACCTGTTACAGCTTGGAAAAGTGTAAATGTTCCGCTTTTTTCACTTCGTATTGATGACCGCATGTTTTACATTTACTTGTCTTCAGTACCTGAGCATGCTTGGGTGCCGTCTTCACTTCATCTTGTTTTCAATGGAAACCTTTCTTGAGATTAGTGACTCGTTTCTTGTGGAGTCTATTCTGCTTTTGTGTAACTTGTTTTACACACCTTGATCTGTGCCACAATTGGCCTCCTCTTGTTTTCACTGGCTGTTGCATACTTCATTATGCGTTGGAAGAGTTCGCTGTCACTTGCACTAGTGCCACATTTATACTGGGATACACTTCACGGCATTTCCGGGTTCTCTGTGTGACATGTAGAGTGATCGCTGAAACTTTTTCTGCTTTTGATTTTGGGATGGGTATCCAGATAGGGACAGACCAGAAAACATGGTATGTTACCATTGCACATTAAATAGTGTGCCTATTCCAGTGCATTATTCCATGTTCTTCATATTAAGACACGGTTTAATTTGAGCTACCATCTAATTATCTTATTGACATTAATCAAAAGGGATTCAAACAGTTTAGAAGGAAAATGAACTTGACTTGAGAAGAAAGCTACTGACATTATCAGTAAGCAAATGCCTTGCGTTTATTGAGAATGAAGCTGTGACTTGGAGTCTCTTTAATCACTTTTCAGAAGCCTGGCTTTTATTAAATGTACTTCATACCTGGCCCTTTTTTTCCCCTTTGGGAATTTTTTTCTTTGTAACATTTGGGACAACTTGTTTTCTTTTTGTAAAATCCCTTTCATATTTGCACTTATACACATCTGTATGCAAATTTCTCTATTTATGAATAGACCTTTTCTAATGTCACTTCTCACTTTTGGTGGTTAAGCCGCTTTAGTGACACTTTTATTTATATATATATATATATAAGATTGAAGTCTCAGCAGCCTAAACAATCCGAATGACATAAACGTATCGATTTTACAGTTGTTGTTTTTTGATCATATTCTTTAATACATTTTTTAATTTTGCCCCAAGTTGCACATTGTAATAACATTATCACAAGGACAGACACACTACAGTAATTTATTACACTTCAATAATAGAAGTTCTCACTTATTCATTTCAATGCCTTTTAACTCTGTAGACTTCTAACTTGGGTACATCTTTGTTCTTGTCAGTAGGTACGTACGTTTACATGGACACTTTTTGCTTCTATCGGAATGAATTCATTCTGATTGACGAATCCGAACGTAGTGTTTACATGAACGCTAAATAAAGTGATCCAAGTTGATATGCGTGTTTGTCACAAGCTTCTGATCGGATTTACTCTTTTGACATGCGCATACTGCATGAATATACAGAGTTTCCCGCTGTTGTCGCATACTGTTTTTTACTGTGTAAAAAGCACACTTGATATTTATCTACTTCGGGTCCTAATTAGGCGACGACCAGCACATAAACTGTTGTGCTGTAGTGCTTACTTCATAAAGCCGTAAAGGTGCCCCTTCCCGCACCCAAAACCAGTCGTCTGAGGATGATGGTCTTAAACGAGGACTGGTGGGATGTTGTGCTGCTCCACTTCACATACGTTGCGTGAAAGGGGAGTTTTATAATGACGGGACACTCACTTATGACACTTCATACACCAGGAAGAATAGCTCATTCCGCACGTCATACGTCATTACGCTATTTTTACGTCCATTCACATACGCAGTACTTTCCAGTTTCGGTCTTCAATCCGATCAAGCGTTTACATGTCCTCTCGCTCAGATTACAAAAGGAATAAACCACCCCTTACAATCCAAACGAAATCTGAATCTGATCTGGCCAATTCAATCTGATTGATGTGGTTACATGTGATTAAAAAAAAAATTAAAATAAAAAATTAATTCTGATTGTGCTTCTATTCCTATTACGAGCGGATTAGTAGGGTCCATGTAAACTCGGCTAATGACTATTATTACAAAGATTGGAATAAAGTAACCTTTTGTGAAGCACATTTACAGAAATGATAGCTAATGACAGACATATGTTGTAACACTACAGGATTTCAAAATGCTTTTGTTTTTTTTCTGTTTCTTTTTTTTTGTTGTGATCATTTAAACTATGGGTCTATCATAAAGCTACTTTCTGAGTACCAAATTAATAAATACTTGGTAATAAGAACTTAGAAGTGAACCAAATCCAGGTATTATAGATTTTTCCGGTAGTTGAAAGAAAAGGTTTCTGTAGTGATGTTTCTTGTGATTAATGCTTCTGAAATTGTGCGAATAGTTTCTTGCACCTGCATCGGTAGGTGAATGTAACGAAATCAAAAGCTGCGGAAACTACGTAGCAGTTTTCTATAAGCATTTTACCATCAATTTATGAAAAATAATGCACTTTGTTGTTATTGTCTGTTATTATGCTACTGATATTGTATGGACAAGTTCTGCATGTTAATTTTGAAGTTGTTCTAATTGACCATATGAAGCTACCTTGGGAGATTGACCATTGTCTTAAACTTGATAATCGTTAGTTTGAGAACTATATAAAAGAGGATACTGATAAAAGAATTTGTTTTGTTCATAGCTACACCATAGTTGTACGTTACAGTTTATATGAAAAGCTGTAATCGCATCTTAAAGAGTACATTTGGGGTTTACATGTTTTCCCTTCTCCTTTTTGATTTCATTAAGAACCAATTCTGGACAGTCAAGTGGAGACTACTGCTTAATGAGGAAGATGGCGGCTCATGTTTTGCTTTTGGATTTGGAAAGACATTTGATTTGCTATGATATTTTAATTCATTCGCTAATGTGCTCAACAATTGTATGTATTTTCTCATTTTACTGCATTGTTGTTTTGATGAAATGCCTGTATTTAACATTTTTAAATGCTTGCTTGCCTTTAAAAGAAAAATAAAAAAAATTGTGATTGAACAATTTCGAGTTGCTCTTATTGGATGGAGAATAAGAATGACGTTTCGCAAATTATTTACGTTGCCATTTACATCGAAGTTTAACACGCCTTGTCCAGGTTTAAGTTTTTATTTTCTTATTTAAAAAAAAAAAATAAAATACAGGTCTGCTACGTTATTTACTTAACAAACTATGAATTATTAGCTGATATTCTAGGTGATAATTTCAAATATTAAAGGGTTTGTGTCATTTTCAACTGCCCACAACGGTTTATTTTTATTTTTTAAATTTGATGTACTCCATAATTATGAAGCTTTTGCTAATTATTTTTGTTTAATCTATTCCACCTATTAATTTCTTGTTGAATTAAGATCACTCATTTGCTTACAAGAGCCATCCTGCAAGCTTTGGAGCAGCAACTTTCCTCTTTCAAATATCACGCTTGCAAAGTACATTACATATACAGAGCAGCTGTAAAAGGGTTCAAATTAAGTGGTCTAAAATGGTGTCCAGTGTAGTCCAGCACTCACTGCAAAATGGCAGTCTGTTGTCTCATTTCCTGTCTATGCAGGAAGTGAAGGCTTAAAGAAATAATTCTATCAACATAAAGATAACTACTGCACTTTAAAACCATTAATCAGTTGTTCAGCTACTATACTTGTAGGGTAGAACTAACTTGAGCTTTAAAATTATATATGAAACAACTAGTTTTTATTGAAAATGGAAGGGGTGGGACTTTCGGGCATCACCTGAGCCCTGGGTAAATGGAGAGAACGTCAATCAAAGGCTAAGCTCTCAGAGCTGGGAAGGAGCTTTAGATGGCGGATGAACCTTGGGAAGGGGAGAGCGTTGAGCCTTGCAGGGCTCTCGATAGCACTTGTATCTCAACTTTGCTGAACTTTGACTGCCTCTTGGGGCACCGCAATCGTGCGAAATCGTTCGTTTTGTTACGTTTTGGATTATAGAGACGTTTTGTGACTTTGTTTCGCCGAAAAGCGCTCTGGTTTGTGCGTAGAGTGGCCAGCCGTTGTTTTCCCTGCCTTGCGCTGGCAGCCATGGCGGTCCTCCATTTTTAGTGCGCTCTGCTGGGCTCCTCTCACACTCTCTCTCACTCTCTCTCCATTCAAATAGCCATCGGTGGATTACTGCTATTATTTTTCGTTCCGAATATTATTCCGATTATTATTTTCGTCTCAATCCTGGAATATTTTAGATTTTGTTGTTGTTGTTGTTATGGCCAAAGTAACAAATCGGATATTTTGTCAGATGTGAATGTACTGCTACAATCCTCCTCCTGTCAGTGCATTAGGTATGTTTACATCGTGTCTTTTCTATTGTCGATTTTATTTGCTTTCATCGTTATGTTTTAATCGTCCTTTGTTTGATGACGCAGTAAGAATTTATGCATGTGGCTCTGAATCTGTTGCCTTGAAATGCCATCGACACATGGATATTTGACATCGAATAGAGTCGAGCAGGTGTCACTTCGATTCAGATGCTTTTTAACTTAAGAAATACTATAAATATTTATCTTAAACTATCAAATCCCAACTTGCCTTTTCTATATATTGCAACGGCAGGATTATTATTTTTTTGATGGTTCATCCCACTTTAAACTTTTGACAGTTAATACCTGGACAAAAGATCATCATTAACAAATCCCAAGACAAAATCATGATGAAGAATAAGAGTAAAAAGCAGGAAGATGAAGGCTCGACTCAAAGCAATGCTTCCAGGTACGATCTTTCATATTTTTCTCTCTTTTTCAGCATGTGTCTTGATTGTTTACATTTACAAGCATGGTTGATCAGCTGTGCTGTGTTTAAACCACAATGTCTGCAAAATAGATGGGTTTCGGATCTGACCTTGGGATATATGTATAGCCGCACCCTGATTTTGCAAGTATTTCTAAAAGTGAGTTCAAGGCCTTATGGGCCTTTACGTAAATTTATACTCGAGATGCTCAGTGTTTTAAACAGATTTGAGCAGTGATTATGGTTCTAATATTTACAGGTTTAAACCGATCGTGTGAAATAACCTTGTCTGATTAGTATGTATGTGCTGCATTGCACCACTATGTAAGGTTAATGACATTTTAAACACTTTTACTTTAACATAACATGAGTTTAGCATTTGATGCATGTTACAATACTTGTGTAGAAAACCTGCTCAGTCTGATTTTACTGAAATATTTGAATGAAATCCATTTCACACAAATACAATGTTTAAAGCAAGTTAATCGTTTTATCCAAAATGTAGAGTATTATTTCACATAGGCATGATTGTGTTGTACATTTTTTTTGTTTACTTTTATAAATAGTAGCAACAAAACTGTTGCTTGTTTATTTACTGTGCAGTTGTATTTTTAATGATATTACAAACTGTTGCTTAAAATATTAATTGCTTTTTACATTTTTTTTATCTTATCCTAAAATACTACTTGTTTTAGGGTTACAAACTTTGGCTATAAGGTATTGAATGTTTATGGAGTAGATATTTATAATTCCTTAATGAAATGGGGTATATTACCTCATATATTAATACAGTTCTAGCTCAGCACTCAATCAAATATTCCATAATTTATTGTAGTATAGCTCCTTGTAAAATATTTTAGCTTTCACTCTGTGTTTTTGTTGTGAAAGAGTGATTATTTTTAAGCATTGTTTAGGACAAAATTGAGTTTTTTCTATTTTGTCAAAATTGGTTTGGTTTGAATCATTTTCAGCAGCAACATGTTTTTGGGTGAAACTTTTAAAAACCTTGACATTGAGGAAATCAGACCGATATGTTGTTCCTTAGACTGATAGTACCATCTAAAATGAAAGTAGTTCTCCATTGTGAATATATATGTTGCATAATTTCCCCTCCAAACCAAATAAAAACAGGAGGTCTTGATTCAAAGATGCAGTGGAAGCAAATAATTTTGGTTTCTTTACTACACTCACAGTTACTCTTATTTCCAAATGTAAATATGAAACTCTTTGAGTTGTAAATAATGTTATTGTGTTCATAATAACAATAATTTGTCTTTTACAGAAATGTATTGTTTACATAGACATTATTAATTTAGGTTATTCTTTAAAATATGACGAGGATTTTGCAGGGGACTTACAGTGATGCCATTTTCCATAGGTTCATGTTTTGTTTTTTCTTGAAATATAAAAGGAAAAACTTGAAGACAACAGTTGGAAATGGAAGATTTTATTTTAATTGTCACTTGTTCAGTTTTGAAATTCTAATAATAATAATGTATTTACACTAAACGCTTACAAACGGACACACATTATGTAGTTTTAACAAAGTTTGCTTCAACTTTTAGCAACTTGAGACCTCATCAATGAGGCTTTTACCCTGTGGGTCATCATATCAGTATATATATATATATATATTTGAAAAAAAGCACAATGTTTTGATGTTATGTATAGTGCTTATGACTGGATCTGTCATTATTTTTATGGTTGTTTGTCAAGAACTTCCCTCTGAATTGATGACAGCTTTGAAGTTCCTGCATATGTGCCAGATACCAGAGTCTAAAGTGAAAAAAACCCTCAAATGTATGTTATCTTTTCACAATTACACAATCAGTAGTTATATGTAATACTGTATATGTGATCATGAATTGTCAAATGAACATGTATGCTCACTTTTATAGGTTGCTTATAATTTTTCTTCAGTGTTAAAGATGCATATGAGAGTCTAAATCAATTCACTATCCTGAGAAACATATCTTTAGTGTTGTTTAGCTTTGGCAGCCATTTTCTAAATATTACTAAATGAAACAAGAGCTGAAAAAGATATTAAATGTGATATTTTTCCTATATTATAGCCAGTGTACTTTATTTGAGATGTTTGTTTGGCTTACCGCTACATAAAAAGCACTGCCGTTTCATCACTGTATGAGACTGGTTTCATTAAATGGCTGAAAGTCCTCAAAGTCACAAAATGGCTCTTGCTTTGTGCTGCATAGCTTGTATTAGTTGCTGCATTACATAAAAGCTTCTTGGAACTACAGGAAGCGGAAGCAGGAAGTCTTTTAGAGGTCAGATGATTTCATACTTGGTTTTTATTGGGCCTTCCAGTGGCTAGATATAAGCAGCCAATGAGAATTCAGTTGAGAGGTTAGGACCGCCCATACGTGATGTCAGCAACCATATAAGGACAGTCTGGCTGGTAAGGCTGCTTTGTCAGCAGCTGTTTGGCTTCCTGAGCACATGAGGGGGGGTGTTTGTTTCTAGCAGTGCATTCCATTATAGTACTCAATGTGCTAGCTTTCACAGCCAGATCTGCATTATGAATGCCATCGTATCAAATTAAATGAGCATTACTGAGATACTTTCACTTTAGGTTTAAGGAAACGTTTTGTCTTGTGAGTAGCATGAGATAGATATATATATATATATATATATATATATATATATATATATAAGGATAGTTCAAAGTAGTTTTCACATTATAGTGTCATTGTTCATTTTTTAACCATGTAAGGAAGATAATTGTTTCATTTATAGTAGGAGGGGTTGGGCTTTTTTTCAGGAAGAAGCCATTGCAATTATATTTAGACTCAAAGGGCAAAAGGACAGCAGAAGTGGTCAGACACAATATGACCTGCAGGATGCTGCCATAAATCTGATCGAGTTTCACGTTTCATAAAGGTTATTTTGAAAGTTTATTTATTCATTACATTTTTCGGTTTGCACATTGAAAGACACCTTCATTTTGAAATAAAATCTTTTTAACAAATCAATAAACCACGTTGTATATAAATGTCTCATATGCTCAGTTGCACATGTAAAAAAAAAATAAAAAAATTCTTAGTTCTGTCATTAAATGAATTATTCCAGTTTTACAGTTGTCAATTTGTCTGTCATTTAAGTAGCTTAATTTGGAAAACGAGGGATGTTAATTCCAGATAAAACGTTCCCTTGCATTGTATTGGATTTCCCCATTTCCAGTTTCCAAAATCCTTGGAATGCTATTGTTTACATTGACAAAGGCACAGCATGCTTTAAGACTTCCCACTTGAGGGCTCAGCATTTCTTTTCTTTTCTTGTTGGATTGAGATAATTAGATTGTGTTTAAAATACAGACTTGCCAGTTTAAAATTGGTGCAAAAAAAATTAAGTGAAAAGAAAAGATGGCATAATTAAGTGGTTTAGTACGAAGTAAGTTAAAATATAAAAAATGATATACTACAAATTTACCTATTGACAATTCATAAGATCTGAATGATATTTTTTGCCAATAACTGAGATTTGAAATCAAACTTGTGAACATGACTCCTACTTTTTAGAACAACTTCACATGTTTTCATTGTTTCTCAACATGCACATCTTTAATGTTATAGCAATTCAGCATCAGAGGAATCTAACCGCTCTGGATCGGAGTCTGGGAGTCAGTCGGAGAGTGAGCAAGGAAGTGATAGAGCTCGTTCCCGGCGTTCAGAGTCCAACAGCACTTCTGATTCTGAGAGCCACTCTGAGTCAGGCAGTGAATCCACTGGGTCCAAACCCCGTCAGACCTCAACGCAGGTCAAAGACAAACCAGTCAGGAAGAAAGACTGCCTGGCAGATGTGAAGAAGGTACAAAAATAGGCCAGCCTGAACATTAGGATCAATCAGTTATTCCCAGTGGATTTAATCTTTAAGATTATATTTAGCTGGTGATTAATTACTTTGATTTAAAATGAATTATGTCCCTAATTATCATAGATGTGGGAGGAACATCCAGATGTTTATGGCGTTAGAAGATCCAGTCGCAGCAGGCAAGAGCCTGCTCGACTCAACATTGGAGCCGAGGTAGGCTGGCTGTATGTAACTCAACACTGACCCCTGGTGGTTTAATTTTGTTTAGCATTTTCACCTACTGTGTTGACATTTACAGTACTTTGACATGTTCTGCTTCTTGGACTAAAGTAATTACAGACATGGTTACTTAATAAAGCGTAAACATTTATGTTTGGCGCTAGAGCCGGGACTGATCAGGCTTGGCAGCCCAAGTCGTGTAAACATACTCCCATGTGTTGAAAGCTTTGTTTCCTTGATTAATCTGAAACATGACACTTCCATGCCTTGTAATCTAGTACTGTATATTCAAAATGGATTTTCATGGATTTTTAGGGCAGCAGTGATTCAGAGAGTGAAAGTCCCAAAAGAAAAGGCTCACGGCTGAAAAAGAAAGAGTAAGTGTACTGGAAGCATTTAAATGGGTCTCTCACTCTCCTTTTTCAATATTTTATTTACAAATGTGTGCTTGTTTTTTTCCCTCATTAACGTCTCCATATGTAACATTTAGATTCACCCATATTTTTGCATGTAAATGTCTTTTAGGCAGTTGTTTTTCTTTTACACTAAATACATTTTCTATTAAAAAATATTTAACGTAAATTACACTTTTTAGAGTCATTCTTGTAAGTAATTGAAAGAAATGCAATTTACTTGTTAAAATGTTAACTGAAGAAAATGGCTCAGAAAAATGAAGTTTTGAGAATAGATGTTATTTTTTTCTTTTTTCTTTTTGCAGATACTGCTAGATATGAAGTTTTGTTATATAGTGCAATGAGATTCATACATTATTAAGTATGGGTAATAAGTATATAGAGTAAAAAAAAACCTGTAAACCATGAATGTAAACATTTAATTTTGAAAATTGTATGTATTAAAAAATGCAATTCATTAGTTCTGAATACATTCAAAAGTTTGGGGTTAGTAAGATGTTTTTATATATTTATTATATGTCAATTTTATTCAGCAAGGATTTATTCAATTAAATCAAAAGAGACAATTTTATGTTTTATGTTATAAAAGATTTCTATTTCAAATAATGCTTTTTTGTTGTGTTTTTTTTTTTTTTTTTTACTTTTTGTTCATCAAAGAATCCTGAAAAAATTGATCACGGTTTCCACAAAAATATTTAGAAGCACAACTGTTTGCAACATTGATGATAATAAATAATGTTTCCAAATCAGCATATTAGAATGATTTCTGAAGAATCACATGACACTGAAGACTGAAGTAATGGCTGCTGAAAATCCAGCTTTGCCACCAGTGGAATAAATGACATTTTAAAATAGAAATTTAATTTGTAAAATATTTCTCAATATTACACTTTTGCTGTATTTTTGACCTAATAAGTGCAGCCTTGGTAAGCATGAGACTTCTTTTAAAAAAAAACAACAGCCTTACCAACCCAAGCTTTTGAACAGCACTGTCTATGCACTGAAGCATCTCTCCCAGCATGTTTAATTGCCTGTGCGGTGGGGAAGCAGGGAAACTGACTGGCTTGCAGCTTTACATTAGGGTAGAAGTAGACGCTAATAGAGGTCCAATAGATGAACCTGTGGTATTTCTGTGTTAAAAGAAATACCTGGAAAGATGATGACTCAAATGACGAAGAGGATGTTGAGGAAGAGGCCAGCAGTTCAGAGAGTGAGCAGGAAGAGAAAAAAGTTAGATCCAGACGACTTGCTGCTAGAAGGTAAGAGTGTAGCGAAGCCTGGCCTTCAGACAGCGCATCGTGAATTATTAAATGAGCTGTCTTATTAAATGCAAATGATGATGGCTCATTTTTAATTACTATGGTTGCGCTAAACTTATTGGTGTGACTTTCTTTGCTCTATCAGAAATTAACGCATGTGTAAATTGTCAAAGCATGTATCCTACTTTTGGCATAATGATGAATATAATTAAAATTTTGATTAATGTGAGTAATTTATTAAGAAATAGAACTGCTATATAAGTCTGACAGCTGTCTCAAGGCTATTGGCTTATGAGTCAGGCTGATAGGTGTGAAAAGTCGCTACACTTGCAAACACATCAGGGACGCGGAACAAAAGGCAAAAAGCCTAGTATGGTAAATGAGTGTATATATGCGTGTGTACTTCTCTCTTTCCCTTCCCAGACCACAGACAAAATCATCTGCTGGCAAGCAGCAGTCACAAAAGGGACGGAAACAGAGGAAGCAGGAGTCCTCAGATGAAGAAGATGAGGATGATGATGATGAGGATACCCCAAAAAGACAAACAAGGCGGCGAGCAGCAACTAAAGTCAGGTATGGATTGTTCCTATAAAGGAATTAATGTAGAGCTCATGTATTGGAGATGCCATACTTCTGCCAAATATAGTAATTTATTCAAATACATAGAATAAAGTACACCTATATATTTCTGAATTTATTCAGTAATTATATTTTACCTATTTAAAAAATGTCTGACAATAATAATTAAGATGTTCACTCACTTATATTCTAGTTTTTTTTTTTTACTTAACCCTGTAAAGCCTACTGTATTATATCTGATTTATAGTTTATCTTATTTTTAGCAAAGTAAACAGCCTTTTAGTTTTATCCTACTAGAAAATTTAATCAATATGATACATCAGGCCTTTGAGGAACTCGTGAAGACACTGTGTGCTTCGTTGTGAAAGCGAAACTACTTTGTTTGGTCTTTCAAAAGAGGACATATCTGCTTCGTCATGCCTAGATCTTATCTGTGCTGGTCGCTGAGGGAATACATCAACTTTCACCGTGGACGAAGCGGAGTCCAGCCCGGGGTCGTCATATGTGGTTACCGCTCATTCGTCGGATCCGCCGGGCGCGCCGTTCTCGACCCCGCCGCCTCAGCTCACTCTAGCCCAGCCTCAGCGCATGCTAAGCCGGGGCTTCCCCTCACGCTAGGCCGCTGTGTTGTTCGTTGTGAAAGCGAAACTACTTTGTTTGGTCTTCCAAAAGAGGACACGACTACAAATCAGTGGTTAAGTTGTATTTACAACACTGTTCCAGAACAGTTTAACCCAAATATCCAGATGTGTGCAGCGCATTTTATGGAGAACTGTTTACTGATCCTGGGAGAGTAACGCTAGACTAAAATGCCGGCAGTTCTGACTCACAGCCAAACCACATAAACATTTCATTACACGAAATACACAAAATGATGTTCTTTTTAGCAGCATCATATGACCCCTTTAATATGTACATCGCTCAGTTATCATTGTATTGCGTTGGATTATTTGTTTTGTGCCCCATAATAAAAACTAAATAGATCTTTGATCATAAAACTAAGCATTTATATAACATCTTAATGGATATTATTGGGAGAAATAGAGTAACAACTAATATTTATAGGCATTTTATACAAGTATACTGTTGTACTGTGAAGATCTTATTGATTTACATTATAAGCTATAAAAATCTCATAATTTTATAAATATCAGCAACTGCACCAAATTCCATACATTAGTTGTATGCTTGTATCCATACTTAGTTACTTGCTTTGTCTCTGGAATATTTTTTAACTCCTGTATTCTCCTATATCACACTATACGAGCCATAAAAGCCTGATGCATCAAAAATTATACTTGACGGAAAAGACGCATGCAAGCTTTTTAAAAATATATTTTTGACTGGTATTTCAAATGTCAGTCTTTACCGGATTCTGTTTTTTGTTTTGTTTTGTTCTTTTTTTTTTTTTACACCAAATTACGTATTTAGAGTCAATAAATTGTTCTTGAAATTGGTATAAAAGTTTTTAAAACCATACAAACTAGCATTCAATAAGTTATTTTTTTTCTTCATGGACATTTTTATTTGTGATTGACCCATATAGTACTGACTTGTCGAATTAGTAATGATAAATCATGTGTTGCAGTTACAAGGAGGACCAGAATGATTTTGAGACAGACTCTGATGACCTTATTGAAATGGCAGAAGGAGCCGAGGAGCAACAGGACGACGACAGTGAGACCATTGAGAAGGTCCTTGAGACCAGAACTGGCAAAAAAGGCGGTAAAGACGGTTTTTCTTTTTTATACTTAATATTCTGTGTTACACATCAACTATTGTGCTTGTTTATTAAAGCCCTTAATTTTTCTCCACCTTGTTTACAGCTACTGGAGCTTCCACAACCCTTTATGCTATTGAGGAAAATGGGGACCCCGGAGCAGACTTTGACCCTGAGAAAGACGAAGGGGAGACTCAGTTCCTCATCAAGTGGAAAGGCTGGTCTTACATCCACAGCACCTGGGAGAGTGTGGATTCCCTCACTCAGCAGAAAGTCAAAGGGATGAAGAAGCTGGAAAACTTCAAGAAGAAAAACGAAGAGCTTAACACTTGGTCAGTGCTCATAGACCTGATATATATCCATTTTTATATGATCTCTGGAGAAACTGGAATCTTGAAGCCAAACATGAATGCCATTTTTATAGACTAAAAACTGACAGCAAACGTTGAAATTACGATTTTTCTTTTAGGATGAATAAAGCATCACCTGAAGATTTAGAATATTACAACTGCCAGCAAGAACTAACCAACGACCTGAGCAGGCAATTCCAGATAGTAGAGAGAATGATCGGTAAGTGCTGACTCGAGTAAGACAATCTTGCAACAAAAAAAAAACCCGGTATCGGCTCCGTTAGTGCCTTTTTCTGCTGGACCGATCCGAATCCGATATTGTGCGTATACTATTCTATGTTATTGTTAAGCCCCAGGAAAGGCACAAAAACATTATAAAGCACCATAAAGTTTTCATGAACTATATTCCAAGTCTTCTGAAGCCGTTCCATAGTTTAATGCAGTGGTTCTCAACCTTTTTTCCACCGGGCCGCACTATGGTCCAAGTGCAAGTCTCGCGGGCCACACGCATATCATTTACATATTACGTCAGCAATACAAACCAACCTGATTTATAATATTATAGCCTAAATATTATGATATAATCGATTACATTAATTGAAATAAATAAATAATTCTACTCCCCATAAAAAACGCCCAATGTTGTGAAATTCGGCTCGAAAGGAGTAACAGCACAATCATAGGGGGATTTTCACTTTTATGCCTGGGGGGGCCCCCACGGGCAGGCGAGCCACGAGCACTTTTTTATATGTTCTACATTTCATGTATTTATGTAACACATATTCTACATTAAAAAACAATAACTGCTGTACAAAGAGTAAAAAAAATTTAATAAAAAAACATACCTAATGCAGAAAAGCCACCTTTTTTCCGAATTGCGTAGATGACCACTATCTTTCATCTCTTCTGATAAAATTTCAGTCAAATCGTTTTCTGTGTGCTAGATCAGAGCTAGAGCCCTGCATTTCAGCCCGGGCCCGACGGGCCCCGACTTTTTTACGCCCCTAGTGCCTTCGGGACAATTTTCATGTCATAATTCAGATGTGGGCCGGACCTCGGGCCTGTTTTAGGCTTCTCCTTATTTTTATATTTTAGACATCCATCAATTAGTGATGAAAAAAGATTGCTGCGCTGGTGGAAACAACACGAGACCGTGCTACCGTGACTCAAGATCGGCTCTACGGTGTTTAGTGTCCCGCAGCAGCAGCTGAAGATTTTTGCATTCAAATGCATGCAATAGGCTTAAATTTGCCGCAAAACATCGGCAAAAGTAATTACCATAAATGCGTCAGGGGGAAACAGTAAGGAGATATTTGAATTATCTACTAATAAACTAGTGTTTTCTGAGTCGGTGTCGCAAGGATGAAGTTGTCGATCCTGACTCTCCATCTCTTCATTAGACGCGCCTTTAGAGAGAAGTGCATCTTTATGGATTATGATCATAATGAAAGAGTTTTAGATTTGTTTTATTTCGTTAAGTAGTCATTTAAAGCTTTCTATAGATATATATATCATGTCTGTGAGGCATGTATTCGCTGAGTTTCGGTTCATTTTTGTGAAGCGCTCCTGTTAAAGAAGACACGGCAGAAAGCGCATCGTGTTTGATTTCTTTATTTTATAAAAGCACAATGTTTTGTTGATATTGTGAGTGCACACAAATAAAAGTAGACCCTTTACAGTTACGAATTATGTATTACTCTTACCTTTATGAGCAAAAATGACAGTGTATCCACTGAAAAAAAACGCAAGTGATCGCGCTGGCGTCTCTCTGTCCTGCAAAGCGCACTTTAGCTTCCACTCTAACGCAAACTATTGGGTATAGCGCACATTTATCTAGGTTTAACGTTTAAACATTGTTATATGCTTGAACTGTTTTATATCTATAGATTTTATTTTAGTCAAGTCGTGATGATTTGAGAAGGCTAAATTGATCAAGCATATGCTCACTGTCTGCCGCTGGCCACTTGGTCGTTACCTTAAATGCGTAACGTTAATTAGGCTATGTGAGTGCTGCTCATGTCTGAAAATAATATATGAAAAACTAAATTATTTTACATAAAAACATTAGGCTATAGCTTATATTTAACTAATATAAAAATAAAAAAGAAGTATAAAACTGAAAGTAATTATTTTTTAAATTGTGTTCAGCATGGTGGGCCACATTTGAATTCGTGATGGGCCGCGGGTTGAGAACCACTGGTTTAATGTGAGGTCGTTAAATTCAAGTTCACATAAACTCTTTTCTCTGGTTGAGTTGTTGAGAACCACTGGTTTAATGTGAGGTCGTTAAATTCAAGTTCACATAAACTCTTTTCTCTGCTGCGGCTGTCTGTCATCTTCCATTTAGTCAAGACGATGAAACTCTCCAAGATGATTCAATGTTCCTATTATTATACTTGATCTGCAGATAAAGATGAATGGTTTTGCATAAAAGGACTTTATCTTGCTGGAGTTTAGTGCTGTGTCTGTTAGATCACTACACTGGAGTAGAGAGCACTATGAATTGTTCTTCACGCACACAGTAACTGAAATTTAAAACTGTGAGAAGAAAAGGCTCATTAAACTATTGCATAGATATAATACACTGCGCATAAATCTCTTCGATTTGTGTTTTGGACTTTTCTGTGCAGAGAGTTGTGCGCTGTGACTCCATGTTGCTTCAAGTGCATCATTCTGCGCACGGGGTGCGCATATGTGCTTTGTGCCGCTCTGTATTGGAGCCTTTCATATTATAATAATTGTTCGCAATGAAAGATTATCAATAGCCTTTCTTGTTTTGTCTTATCTATCATATGTTGCTGCCTCAATACTGTGCTATGCATGTAAAATAAATGTATTTTAAATTTTATAGTATATATTTATATATAAATGTATTTACTTGTTTTTCATGAATGTATTTTTACAACAATACAAAGAGCAATGTGTAACATTTGAACAGATTTAGTCCTACACTTTTTCACTTTTATTCGTTTCCCACTAGATTGGGAAGTGTTTAGTTTTTATAAAATGATTGAGCACTCATTTGATGAACTTTATCCACTAACCTAGTTTATAATAGTATTTTTGTCATAGATTGTTTCATAGATTTTTTTCATTTGTTATTTTTCTTTATAATAAAGTTGTCTGTATTTAGTAGATTGTGTTTAACACAAAAGAGTGAGGAGCAGGTCAACACAGAGGTATAGAGATTCTACATTAATAAAAATAACTGCGCTGGTATCGGATTGGTATCGGCCAATGCTCAAAATGTTTGGTATCGGTTCGGAAACAATTTTATCGGTGCATCCCTAAATTTTATGAATATATATTACTGTTTTTACTGTATTTTTAGCAAATAAATAGCCTTAGTGAGCATTTCTTTCAAAAACATAAAACTTAGCAACCCCATTTGAAAAGGTAGTGTATATGCACTAAAGCAGCTCTCACTCCCAGCATGCTAACGCTGCATTTATTTGATCAAAAATACAATAAAAACAGTAATATTATGAAATATTTTCTATTTAAAATAACTGTATTGTATTTTAATATATATAAAAAATGTATTTATTCCTGTAATGGCAAAGCTGAATTTTCAGCAGCCATTATTGCAGTCTTTAGTGTCACATGATCCTTTAGAAATCATTTGAATATGCGGATTTTGTGCTCAAGAAACATTTCTTAGTATTATCAATGTTAAAAACCATTGTGGTGCTTAATATTTTTGTGGAAACCATGATGTTTTTTTCTTTCTTTCATTTTTTAAGGATTCTTAAAAGTTCAGAAAAGTTTGATGTTTTTTGTAACATTGAAAATGTCTGTCATTTTTGATCAATGTAATGCAGTGTATTATGATCTGTTATTAATTTTCGTTTTCTCTCGTTTAATCAGCAACAAGAACTGGGAAAACACAAGCTCCTTCAGACTTTCCCTGTAAGTTTGCTGCTTTTGAAATTGCACTATTTCTGATCTACTTGGTCAAGGGAGATGGTTACTACTTTAATCATTTTCTGTTATGTCGCAACAGCTCATAAAAGCAGTTCGAGTGAGCCAGAGTACCTGTGTAAGTGGATGGGGCTGCCGTATGCAGAGTGCACATGGGAGGATGGCGCATTAATCGGAAAGAAATTTCAGGCCTGCATTGATAGTTTTCAAAACAGAAATGCCTGTAAGACGATTCCTTCCAAAGATTGTAAGGTGAGGATGAGATTGAGTTCTGATGGAGCTTTGCTTTGTTTCTTTGGGAAAAGGTGTTGAAGCATAGTGCCATGCTGTTATGTGAACAATGTCTTTTTTTTTTTTTGCCCAAATGGAAGGTATTGAAACAGAGGCCAAGATTTGTGGCCTTGAAGAAGCAGCCTTCTTACATTGGAGATGAGATCCTTCAACTCCGAGATTACCAGTTAGATGGAGTGAACTGGCTAGCTCACTCCTGGTGCAGGTATGTAATGTACAAGTGGAGCTTTTAGTGAGGAATTGATTACTTTCTATTACGGATGAAGTACAGGCATTGACATTGTGTCTGTAACACAGTTCGTAGTCACGGGAAGGAGGAGGCGGGAACCGGCGAAAATTTTAAAAAAACTTTAATAATAAAATAAACACAAAATTGCGTGACAGCCCCTCGCGGACGACTGTCGCGCACAAACAGAACCAAAACACAAAATAAAGTCCAGGTCTGGTCCTCTCTCGTCTTTCACTGTCGTAACTCCTCCTTTTATTGTTCCGGAGCTCTCTGTGGGACTTGAGACCGGTGAGTGGTGCAGGTGTCGCTCATTATCAATTACTCCACCGGCCTCGCTCAGTTCCCACGGCTCTCGGCCCCGCCCCCACTCGTGACAGTGTCAAAATATTATTTCTGTGCAATAAGCCTTGAAGAAAAAAAGAAACCTAATAAATGTGCTGTTTTATAAAAAAAAAATTAATTGAAAAAAAAAACAGAACTAGCAAGAAGAGGAGTACTTTTGTTTTGTTCTTTTTTTTTACCGTCTGTTTACTTACTGAAATAATTACTTGGAAAAACCTTAAAATAATACTAACAAAAGGTAGAAACACTTCAAGGTTCAAGGTTTAATTTAATAAAATTTAAATGTCATTAGCTAATATTAATATTAATTTGATTAAATAAGTTATCAATATTAAAAAAGAGAATATTGTATATAATATCAGTGTTATTTTAGTATTATTTACATACTATTATTGATTATTATTTTTGTAGCTTTTATTATATTTAGCTTTTATTATTTAATAGCTTTTATTTTTATACTTTTGCTTTCATTTTAATTTTAGTTTAAGTAATTTTGTTTTTGTAATTTATGACAATTATTATTTTTCTTTCTGTATTTAATATTATTCTGTTTAGCTTGAATTAATTTTTTTGAATTCAGTTTGTCATTTTAGTACGCAAGCTTATTTCATTTAGTTGTCGAGACGTTTTTTATTTTCATTAAAAAAAAAGTATATTCTAATTGTAATATTTATATTTTGTTTTATTTCAGCTTTATTATTTTGATAAATGAACATGATTTGTAATAGTTTTAGATAATTCAAAAAATAGTTAATATCAAGCTTTCATTTTAGTTCTTGATTTTGAATTAACCATGCTGTCTTCATCTCTGGTTTCTGTTATGTTCTGCAGGTGTAACAGTGTTATCTTAGCTGATGAAATGGGCCTGGGAAAGACCGGCCCCGCCCCCACTCGTGACAGTGTCAAAATATTATTTCTGTGCAATAAGCCTTGAAGAAAAAAAGAAACCTAATAAATGTGCTGTTTTATAAAAAAAAAATTAATTGAAAAAAAAAACAGAACTAGCAAGAAGAGGAGTACTTTTGTTTTGTTCTTTTTTTTTACCGTCTGTTTACTTACTGAAATAATTACTTGGAAAAACCTTAAAATAATACTAACAAAAGGTAGAAACACTTCAAGGTTCAAGGTTTAATTTAATAAAATTTAAATGTCATTAGCTAATATTAATATTAATTTGATTAAATAAGTTATCAATATTAAAAAAGAGAATATTGTATATAATATCAGTGTTATTTTAGTATTATTTACATACTATTATTGATTATTATTTTTGTAGCTTTTATTATATTTAGCTTTTATTATTTAATAGCTTTTATTTTTATACTTTTGCTTTCATTTTAATTTTAGTTTAAGTAATTTTGTTTTTGTAATTTATGACAATTATTATTTTTCTTTCTGTATTTAATATTATTCTGTTTAGCTTGAATTAATTTTTTTGAATTCAGTTTGTCATTTTAGTACGCAAGCTTATTTCATTTAGTTGTCGAGACGTTTTTTATTTTCATTAAAAAAAAAGTATATTCTAATTGTAATATTTATATTTTGTTTTATTTCAGCTTTATTATTTTGATAACCGAACATGATTTGTAATAGTTTTAGTTAATTAAAAAAATAGTTAATATCAAGCTTTCATTTTAGTTCTTGATTTTGAATTAACCATGGTGTCTTCATCTCTGGTTTCTGTTATGTTCTGCAGGTGTAACAGTGTTATCTTAGCTGATGAAATGGGCCTGGGAAAGACGATTCAGACGATATCCTTCCTTTCCTACCTTTTCCATCAGCACCAGCTTTACGGTCCCTTCATCTTGGTGGTACCCCTGTCAACCCTCACTTCCTGGCAGAGGGAGTTTGATATATGGGCCCCGGACATGAATGTAGTGGTGTACCTGGGAGACGTCACAAGTAGAAAGACAGTAAGCTAGTACTCATGCTGAGACAATCCAACCACAAAGAATTCAACCTGTTATTATAATACAGGTTTGAGGTATAACGCTCTGTTTTTGACCAGATCCGGGACTATGAATGGATCCACCAGCAGACAAAAAGAATCAAGTTTAATGCACTTTTGACCACATATGAAATTCTACTGAAGGACAAGGTATGATATTCATGTATCTTTGACTTAATCTTTTGTACTTGCTTCGTGTGTCATAGAAATGAGTTGTTCTTCATTATACAGACATTATTATTGAGTCAAGGCTTGTCTGTGTGTGCAGGGAGTGCTGGGGAATATAAACTGGGCTTTCCTCGGAGTTGATGAAGCTCACCGGCTTAAGAATGACGACTCGCTGCTATATAAAACTCTGATCGACTTTCGATCCAATCACCGGCTGCTCATTACTGGGACCCCACTGCAGAATTCGCTTAAAGAGCTGTGGTCCCTTCTGCACTTTCTTATGCCTGACAAGTAGGTACTCGCAGTCAGGGTTTGCACCATCATAATGAAAATAAAGGTTCATATTTGCAATTTTGGCTCCACTACAAAAATTGAGAGAAAAGTTTTTTTATGCCCATCAAAGTTTAAACGTTAAAATATGAGTAAATATTTAACTTCTTTTTAAACACATTGCTTTAGAAATTTATGTATTCAAGCAAAAGCTCTCTACAAATAAATTTGAATTGAAAATGCTTTTGTATATTCTGTTTAGGCATCTAACATTAATAACAGGTAGAAAAAAGTAACAAATACAAATGAAAATATTTTAAGATATACTACCGTTCAAAATGGCTGATAAAAGTTCAGCTTCATCAACACAGGAATAAATTATATTCTACAATATATTAAAATAGAAACAGGCTATTTTAAATGGCAATACTTCACAATATTACTGTTTTCACTCTGTTTTTGATCAAATAAATGCAGCCAAATAAATGCACCCCTACTGATTCTAAACTTTTAAATCTTAGTGTATTTTAGCTAATAATTAAATTAAAAGACAATTACAAGTAGTACTTTTTTATAATATTATATTAAGTATGTTCTTACACAGTATTAACAGGTCTTTAAACATGAATGTATGTAGCTGCCTTTATATTTTAGGAAGGAGGTCGTCATATTTGGGGGTCCGTGAAGTCAAGAAGTTTAAAACCCCTGTTTTTTTAATTTGCCCCTTATTAGGTTTGAGTCTTGGGAGGATTTTGAGGATGAGCATGGTAAAGGCAGGGATAATGGTTATCAGAGCCTACACAAAGTTCTGGAGCCTTTCCTACTGCGTCGTGTCAAGAAAGATGTGGAGAAATCCCTGCCGGCTAAAGTGGAGCAAATCCTCAGAGTTGACATGTCTGCCCAGCAAAAACAGTTCTACAAGTAAGTGCTGTTTTATCCCATTTCATAGCTCTCTAAATCGAGTTACTCTTTGATTGAGTCAAATTTTGATTCCAGACTCTAAGACTGCATACAACTGGAATGCAAGTGTTTAGAGAACATCTGTCCATCTCATCATTGTTCATTTGTAATGTGACTTTTTCAGATGGATCCTAACAAGAAACTACAAAGCCTTGTCCAAAGGAACCAGAGGCAGCTCTTCTGGTTTTCTTAACATTGTCATGGAGCTGAAGAAATGTTGTAACCATGGTTTCCTCATCAGACAACCAGAGGAGCGTGAGAATGAAAAAACACAAGAGCACCTACAGGTATGGCTCTTCTAGACTGAAACCGTATGATTTTGTTCTTAGGAGACGTCATTTTCAGGTTGTTTGTTAATGTTTGTTCAGAGCTTGGTGCGTGGCAGCGGGAAACTTGTTTTGCTGGACAAACTTCTCACGCGACTCAGGGAGAGAGGCAACCGTGTGCTCATCTTCTCCCAGATGGTCCGCATGTTGGACATCCTTGCTGAATACCTGTCTTTGAACCGATATCCATTTCAGGTATGATCTGAACGGTACTGCAATGTGTTAAAATGTTTACATGTACTAGTGGTCGACCGATGTTGGTTTTTTGACAGCCGATGCCTATATCTTGGAAAGCAGGGTGGCCGATATAGCCGATATAATTGTATTTATTTTAATTAATATTTAAGAAATTTTTAATTATTTGAAAATGGATAAAAAAATTAATTTGTAAAATAAACATACTTATACTTTAGGTAACAAAGTATTTTCCACAAATAAATAAATATTTAATTAAAATATAATTAAAAAGGAAGTAAACCGTAACCAACAGCACTCAGTATTCTGGGAAGTTTGTGTGCATTGGGAATCATATTTTCAAATAAAGCCAAGGTAACACTCATTTTACATACAGCATACAGTGAAAATGATATGAATATGACAGTGGGCAAATGCATGAAGCGCAGCATAATTTGAAATCACGAATTTAATGTTTAAAGCATTCAATTTACACTGACCGAAATTCACGCAGAGAACATGCGATCATGCAGGTCACATGCACACTTCACAAGCTCTCACAACTGGATTCGACTAAAAGTTGGCCAACGTCGGGCTAGTTTGTTTGGTGTGTTCCACTCGTCGGCTCTCGTCGGGCTCACGTCGGCGGCAGTTTGCCGGCGTCGGGACCGTCGGCACGAGTGAGAGCTCTGATTGGATGTTCAGTTTAGCGAACGAGTCAGTGCCCGAGAATTAAAGCGAAAGTGATGAAAACAAGCACGTAAATGAAGGCGGTACAGACAGAAGGCTGTTTAAATGTTACGTGATCTTTCCCAATCATTCTAATACGCGAATGTTTTCATAACATGAGCCGCTTAAAATGATTACATTTATCAACGTTACTGATATTCAAAATGGTTATTGATAGCTGCTGATATAGACAGATAGTTAATTCCTCTCACGCATGCGCAGAACGCATGTGTTAGTTTGCCGTCGGCTGTAGTCTGTGCGGTGTGTTCGAGCGCAGCTTTTTGGTCCGACGTGAAGGGCGGGACACACCAAGCCGACTTCAAAGAGCTAGCGGTGACTAAAGCCGACGGTGTTGTCACCTCGCGTCGGCAGCGTCGGACCAAAAAGCTGCGCTCGAACACACCGCACAGACTACAGCCGACAGCAAACTAACACGTGCGTTTTGCGCATGCGTGAGAGGAATTAACTGTCTATATCAGCAGCTATCAATAGTATATATTCTTCATTCAAAAGGAGAAACCGAAACGAAGATATACAAGATAAACTCAGATATACAAAACGTAAACAAAGTTCTCACTCGCGCTGACGGCCCTGACGCCGATTCAACATGTTGAATCGGGTAAACTGCCGCCGGCCTGAGCCCGATGAGAGCCGACAAGTGGAACACACCAAACAAACTAGCCCGACCATAGCTCGCTGTTGGCCCGACTTTGGCCAACAGCCGACCTTCGGCTTGGTGTGTCCCGGCCTTGAGGTGACAACACCTTCGGCTTTCGTCGCCGCTAGTTCTTTGAAGTCAGCTTGGTGTGTCCCGGCCTTAAGTTTGCAAGGTTTGTGAAATTAAATTTTCATTAGCCATTCAAAGATTTGTTTAAATGACGTAAATGGGTATTTGCTGAAAGCTGAAGGCAAACGAAAAAGTATTATAATGTTTGCCTTTCTATTACTAATAATATAAAAGCAATCGTTATAATACTTTTTATATACATTTTAATTCCTTTATTACACAGACTTCTATCCGTATTAGACAGAACTGTTAATGACGATGGCGATCAAGAGGGAGAATGTGAGCACTGTGTGCTCAGGCACTGCTGCTGTCAGTGCAGTCAAAATAAAAGTCCCGCCTCTAACGCATGGGCCAAACAGAAAAACTTATCGGCCGATGCGATATTTGAAAAATGCCAAATATCGGCCTATATATCGGCATTGTCAATATATCGGTCGTCCACTAATCTGTACAGCATCAAAGTAAAAACGTGGACCCTAATTAGAAAGATGTCTACTAGGCATGTGTGTGTGTGTGTGTGTGTAATTTACTGGCCAACTAGTAAAAGCATTATTTAAGCTGTTCACAAATTTATTTTCCTGTGTGCCTTTGCCTGGTGTAAACATCAATGAAATATATTTTCCTACTGAATCCTGCACCAAAATCCTGCAGTTATGACCGAATGCACTGGATATGTGCCATTAAGATGACAAGAGATGAAGCCATTTGGCAATACTTCAATATAATGAAAATAATTAATAATGTATCAGAATCTGCCGTAAAGGTGAAAAGAAAATGTGAAGCGCTACCTGAAACTCGGTCACTTTTTAGTGGTTTTGTACTTTTCTTCTGAATAAGAGCGTGTTAAACTTTAATATAGAGACAGAAAGGTTATATATGTCTAATACTAATTATACTAATGGTGGCAGTCCACTTTTCAAATTAGTTTCTCTGTAAATGGGGTGAATGTTGTGATTTTTATATTTATATATATATATATATATATATATACACAGTGGTGTGAAAAAGTGTTGGCCCCCTTCCTGATTTCTTATTTTTTTGCATGTTTGTCACACTTTAATGTTTCAGATC